TGGTCCAGAGTAACAAAGTAAGTTTGTTATCCTACATATATTTCTGTAGATGGGTGTTTTTTCTTCGTAAGCCCACACATAAAAGGAATGGCTATCCTGACCCTCTGAACTGCATGCTTTTATCTTTAATAACTGGCAGCCATCAGACTTGTGCTGTGGAGAGCTGAAGCAACAGCTCAGCATAATTTTACACAGCAATAATTTTCCATTGCACATCAGTCCTGCTCCACAAGGGTTTGTAGGCTGACTTGTGTATGTCAGCTTCAGCAGCCCTTCTGGCTTGCTGCTTCTCTTAGCCAGGGGTATGGGTTACCACCAGGCTTTGAGCCAACACAGTCTTATTGATGCCTACGTAGCACCTGCATTGGAGCTGCTGTAATTCAGCTGCTTGTGAGGTGCGTGTTGTCAGGACACCTGGACTGGCCAAATCCCACATGTGGGATCTGTTTTACCATTGTGTTCCTTCAGTTAAAACTAGTGAAATACCAAAAGAAAATTACCTTTTAGTACTGAGACACTAGTTCCTCTCTGCATTTCCTTAGGTTTATGTAGCTGCACTCACATTAATTTCTGTAAAGCAATTAACGGCCTTCTGTGATTTACAAACTCTATTTGCCATGTCATGTTTTTGAGTGAAGGTCTAGTTCAGATTTCAAAAGTCAGAGTTTTGCATACTAGCACTCCTCACTAGCACTCCTCACTTTTAATATTTCAAGGGAAAGGCAGCTGAGCAAATATATTTGGGGCTTAAGATAAGGCTTAATTAATCTTATTAAGATTAAGATTAAGATAAGGCTTTGCATTAAGATTTCATTCAAAAGTGTGAGAGCTGAGTACAGAGTGTCAGGGCAAGCACTTTCTCCTCCTCCTTTCAAACTCAGGAGTGTTAATGTTCCATGTAAAGTCTTGCCAGTCCTCTGCACTTCACACAGAGTTGGTCACTCTTACTCAAGAAAAAATTAAGCTTGGAGAAAAGCGCAAAGAAGGGCAACTAGTGAGATGAGGGGAATGGAGAGCCTGCTGTGGAGGAGAGAGAGATTGCGACTTACCAAAAGAGGTCGAGGAAAACGCTAATTCATGCTCAAGAACAAATTGCGTGGATAAACGTTGTAGGAAGAAAAAGAAAATAACTGATGGTCTGCATTGTGCATGCACATTCAAGCTGGGAAGTGGAACGCTTCCAATAATAAGAGGACTGAGTTTCTATTTCCAATATGAGGGGAAAGAAACCAACTGCGGTGGAGTTTTTGAACACAATGGAGCTTGAATAGTCCATGACTTAGTTGCCTGCAGCAGCAATCCCTGCCAGGACTGTGTTTCTTTGAAGTAAAACAGCTCTGTTGCAAGGATTGGGGATAATTAACTGAACATTGTGGAAGTGTCTTATATAGTAGAACCCATTCTGCCCCCAGCTATGCTGAAAACGAACAAAAAGGGGGAAATGGATTGTCCTCTTTGCAATGTTGTGCCCGTTTCACCTAGGTGTGAAAGATCTGACCTTCCCATTGTGAGCCCTGATAAGTCCCTGAATTCCTTTTATCTATTTAGACAAAAAAATAATCTAAATATTTAAATAATATGGGAACCTACATACCCATAACTTTACAGTTATATAGTTACTATGGTTATACAGTTACTCTATGCATAAAGTTGTACATACAGGCAAGAATGTGGGCCTAAAGTCATATACAAATATATGTAATAGTAGAAATTTAACAGCAGATATCTAAAATATATAATGGAATGAGGTTTCTTGCTTGTTCTTCGCTTGCTACCCCTTGTCTTTCCTTTTGTATCCACCTCATGCTTTTTATTGAATCCTTTATTTAGCTCCTGTGTTCAGGAAAAAAGCTTGTTCACGTGCTCCTGTAGTCACAAAAACATTTTCTGATTTTTTCTGAGACTCACTCCAGCTTCTCATGTACCTTCCTGGCTATCTTTGGCATTCTGCTTTTCCTCCCTTTTATTTGGCCTTTCTCATTTTTTTTCTCCTGTTGTGTTTGCTATTTCTGTCCTCTCATGCTGATAGTCTCTTTTTATTCTAGGTGTTGAAAAAAGTACAAGACAAGGAACATCCCACCAGGGTAACTTAGACCTAAGTTCCAAAAGATGACTTTCTTCAACTTGGTGGAATATCCCTTTTCCAGTGCTTTTCTTTCCAAGTATTATCTTCCTTCCCATTCCTATTGTGAAAGTTCTTACTGCTGTTCCTCTGTTATCTTTCCTCTCTGTTAGACTATTTCTTACTCTTTTTTCACTCTACTCCTCCTGACACAGTGTACAGCCTGAATACAATTTTGCTAGTATGTGTTGCCGAGGTTGGATTCCAAACCCTTATTCATTCAGTGAAGTTTCCTTCATATCAGAGGCATTCTTCTGTGTGAATATAACAAATGTGTGTTGCCTACTGCAGAATCTCAATGCTGTGGTTTTATAGCAAAGAACTTAACGTGAATAACTGTGTCACTTTACTCTTTAAATATGGGGGATCCCATTTCAAATATAATACCATGTTCAGTGGTATTTTACGTTTAGTAGGGACAAACTCCCAATTCTTAATTACTTAAAACTTATAAATTACAGACACTTCATTTACAAACACACTCTGCTTTGAAGGCTGACCTTACCAAAAAAAATAAGCTTTTGGAGGCGATTTAGAAGTTTTAGTGTAATTTTGTAACTAATGATAGATGAAAACTACATGAGTATGGTTAAACATGCATACCCAGTATAATGGTGAAATTCTGATAGCGTACTGCAGAGAAGTCTTGGGGGCTAAGATACTGTTTTTTCTTCTGGGGTTTTGATGGGTAAGGGTTGGTTTCAGTGGACCTACGCCAACTCAGACTCGTGTAATGTCGGGGTGAACAGGGCTGTTGGTTTACACTGAATGTGTAAACTGCTGTAGGCATTGCGCCGCTGCTGCAAAAGCAATTAATATTTGGAAAGTAAACACAAAGAAACTCTAACCTGGTAGCGGTTTAATCATGTTAGAAATCTAAGGCAGCCCCCTCGTGGCCATTTGTGTTTTGAAGCAATTGTTTCAAAAACCATTTAAAAATAGCCATTGTTTGGAGGAGAAATGAATGCTTCCTTAAAATTTCTACTGTGTACTGTTACACTTGTTAAAGGTGTTGATAACACCAACAACCCGTGGTGCTAATACAGGTCAAAACCAGTTTTTGTGTGGTGTTCACCTGAAATGATTGAATTGCCAGGAGCAGCTCTCTAAAGCCTGGCTCACAGTGGCAATCCTACATACCTGGCTTCAGCATTGGCAGAGGTGTGTTACATGAACAGAATCTGTACTACCCCAAATCTGCGTGGTTGTCTTCTGTCACAGGACGCTGATCCTCCGTTTCTTTTGAACTACACTGCACAGAGGGCTGCATATTCTTCCTGGAGCATCTTGAATTTTTTTTCTTTCTTTAGTGCCTGCCTGTCCCCAGATCCTGTAGCGACCTGCAGTCACCTCGTCTTTGCTAAATAGCTACTCAGTTAAATATTAATGTCTTCCAACTGCTTAGCTCAACCTTACTGACGTCATTTTGACTTTAATCCTTACTAGGACTTATGGTAACAGAGCTCAAAACAAACGGTGGCTTGAAGAGAAGAGCTGGGTCGTGAAACAGATTGTGAAGAGATGTCAAGACAGAAATGAGAGACGCTAATGCTAAGAAGGATGAGACACAAAGTTGAAAGCACTGAGAAATTCAGAGGGGAAAAAAACTGTGCTTTAAATTTTGATCGGGTGCCTTTTGTGTAGCAGTCGGTCAGAGCTGAAAGCAAAGCATGTTTTCCTGGAGATACGTGAAGGAGCCGTTCAGTGAATTACGTTCGTGGGTTTGTTTGTTTGGTTGGTTGGTTGTTTTTTTTTGGGGGGGAGGGAGACTGTTGGGTTTTTTTTACATTTCTGCGGCCATGCTCGACGGATCCTTCTCTCAGCGCGCTGTGGAAACCCCTCTCCGCAGGGACAGAAACACCTCCGGAAGCAAAGCGCTGTTTTGAAGGGGCGCTGCCCATCCTCGCCGGCACCTCCCTGTGCTGTCTCCAGTGTGTTTTCTCTAGTAAGAACGGACCCCGTTTATCGGTTTGGTTATGACTGACAGGTGGAAGGTTTTAAGCATTCTTTTCCGTTTCCGACCTCTCCGGCTGCCACCCCGCTCCAGAGGAAGCCCGGCCAGCCTTCCGGAAAACGGGAGAGTGCCGGGCACAACTGCGGGTGACGGGAACACGCGGCGCGGCAGCGCCGGAGCCCCACGACTAGCCACACGCCCGACC